AAAATAGATAAAAAGATACTTCAAGCCTGTGACGATCCCAGTCAGTGGCTGAGCATCTTGAAATGGTTGCATCTTCAACTCCAGCTTCCCCTCCATCCAAGAAAACAAGTCTAGTAATTGGCGGAAAAGAGGACCCTTTCAATTTGATGCTCTTGGACCATGCTGGTGTTGAAAGAAACTTAGACTCTCCAGAGATTAATTAGATTCATTCTTCCTGCAATCTAATAATATCTTCTGCACTAAGATAACTATATAGATCGTTAAAAATATTTTTAAAGTTACTTTTTCTCATTAGCATACGTCACATCTTCATATCTGTATTTATATATTTGTTTGCTATATCTCTTGGATTTTATTCAAACATCATTTTTATTTTAAAGTTAAAAATTTATTGATAATTTATATTTTAAACCATATAACATATTTTGTATCTAAAATTTTTGTACAAAAATATATTTAATTTGTATTTATGATATTTTTTATTATATTTTTTGAAATTATTTCTTTAAAAAATTTGGATTAATATTTTTAAAAGCTTTTCAGAAACGGTTTGGAATCAGTTTTTTAGACAAAAGTAAATCTAATTTTTTGTTTGAAATGAACTTTCCAAAATCTATTTATATATTAAAAATAATATTATTATTTTAGATCAACATAGGATAAAAAAAGAAGATAATGAGGGTACATGAAAAAGCTATCACTTCCCAAAAACATATTTCTAGGGGTGCAAAAGGCAAAGGCTAATCCAAGGATTGATATGAATTTGTGGCTTGCCAGACAGTAACACCACAATTTTAAAGCAAAATTACTACAACCAACTGTGTAAGTCATTCTACTTTGTTCGTGTAAAAACTATTACTAATTTCATCCACTAAACATTGATTCAATACCAATATTTCTTTAGCCTGTGTTTGTTTGAACTGATTTACTGTTCACGAAGACAGAAATGAGAGATTCAATTCGTTTGTTGCAAGTGATTTGAGAGGATTTGCAGTCGCGAATTTGAGGGAGAGGGGAGGAAAGCTCACCCTGAAGATTTGAGAGGATTTGAGAGGATAGCAGAGAAAGCCACATCATCAAATAGTAAATAACTTATTTACCCTTCTCCATCTCCTGCATGAGAACACGCCCGCTGTACTATAATAGCACTTCTAATAGCGGTTAAAACTTAACCGCTATTATATAGCAATTTTAATAGCGGTTAAATCTTAACCGCTATTATATATTATCAGATATGATCGATCATTTGAAAATGTAGTCGATCATAATCGAAAAATGTGGATGTCGCTCGAGCGAGATCAGTTTCGCTCAAGCGAAAACAACCCAAGAATGAAAATTATGTGCAGGTGTCTTCGCTCGAGCGAGTTTAATGTCGCTCAAGCGAAATACAACTTGTAATAGCGGTTAAACCATAACCGCTATCTAATATATACTTTAAATAGCGGTTAAACCATAACCGCTATCTTAAGTGTCGAGGTTTTCGAAAAGTGATCGATCATTTTGGCAAAATAATCGATCATTTGAAAACTTTAGATTGCGGTTAACATATAACCGCTATGACAGGTTACTTTTAAGAGCGGTTATCTTTGTAACCGCTCTTAAAAGTGTATATATAATAGCGGTCCAGTTTAATCGCTATCTTATATATATTTGTAATAGCGGTTATTACTGGAACCGTTAGCTAAAATCTTGATCATTTGACAAATTATATATTCTAAACACGACAGAAGGAGGTAAGTCATGAACAGAAGTCACGGGCTGTACATGCAGTGGTCACGGGCTGTACAGCCAACTTCACGTGTTCACAGCTGATAGAAGTTACAGGACTTATTCTTTCTTCTCTAGTTACAGCCGATAGGGAAAGTTATTGTATTATATAAAGCAAAGCTTTCAAGGGATAGACAACGATGAATCACTGTTAGCTGAAGTGGATCGAGAGTTGATGGAACAAGATGTGGATAATATGTCGACTCAAGTTCGGGAAGAAGATTATATGGAAGGGTCAAACTTAAGAGATACTATAGCAAATCAAATGTGGATAGATTATCAAAGTCATTAGATTTTGTATATAATAATAGTTGCTTGAATTGATTGCTTTGGATGTGTAAAAACTGATGTTCAATCTATGTTTAAACGTTTCAAGCAAAACTGTTTTTAAAGAGAATTTTCAAATCTGCTGCATTAATTAATCTGTTGAAAGTTTGTTTTAATCTGTTGAAATAGCCGTTATAATCTGTTAAAAGTTCTTTCAACCCATTAATGCGTTCTTGTTTCTTTAACAGAATGGTTTTAGTTGATACAACCATGTTTATATCAGTTAAAACATTTTACAAACATTTTCTGAAAGTGATTCAATCGATTGATTCGCGTTTTAATCGATTGATTTGCTTAAAAACCTTCTTATAAAACTTTCCTAAGTTATTTTAGCTGATATAAAGTCGTTTTAATCGATTGAAAATCTGTACATAACTTTTCAAGTCTTTTTAATCGATTGAAAGTTCGTTTTGATCGATTGAAATAAGTCTGATCGGTCATAATTCAATTTTGATCGATCATAACCAACTCTGATCGGTCATAATTTCATTCTGATCGATCATCCTGACTTCCAAAGTGGTTTTAATCGATTAAAACGTGTTTTAATCGATTAAACTAAATCTGATCGCTCATTTTTAAAGTCTGATCGATTATATTTCATTCTGACCTGTCATATTCGAATTCTAATCGGTCATAAAAGGGTTTTAATCGATTAAAAGAAGTTTGTATCGATTAAAATACTGTAAAAACACTTCTTTACGTATTCTAAGTGATTTTAATTGTTTCTTTTAAAACTATATCAGTTAAAAACATTGTTAAGAAAGTTCTTTGTCAAAATGCTTTTGTTTGATTTGTTTAAAACTATTTTTGAGGCATTTTGCAAATTGAGTGAAGGAGCTTCATGCAGTGGAAAAAGGTAAAGTGATTTTACCTAAGCTTTCTGATAAGACACACTAAGTCTTCAACTCCATTCTTCTGAGTGACTTGTATGACTGTTGCAGAGTTGACCTTTTTATCTTTGACTTCATCAAATCACTGAGATCTTTGCTAGTATCACTTTCATACATTACGAGGCTGGACACATTTACAGATTACCTCGGGCAAGGTAATACAATCACCCAACGATTATCTGACATAGCTGAAAGACAGGTGGTCGCCATTGAACGCAGAAATGATTTAATTAATGAGCAAGTTAATGTGATGAGACGATCATCAACATTTCAACATTCGGAGTCAGATATATGGGACATGTTAGTCGGCATGAACCTAAATGACGAGCAACTTATGCTTCAGTGCTATAATCATTTGTGTACTCACCCATCACATGTTATACGACTTTTGGCTTGCCCTCACATCTTCGTCTCTCCTAGTTGTTCATGTTCTTGAATGGAGGTGATTGAATGATCTTAACCTGGAGGACTTGATCGCAAAAGATGGATAACATTATAATTATTTGTTTGAAGAGCATTAGTGTGCATAGATTTATAATTTTAGTAATCTTTCCTTTAATTATTATTCTATTTTCACTTGTATTTTATATTTGTTTTAAATAATAATGTACAATTATATTATTAATTTTCATAATTATTTGTTATTATCAATCAATATTAATTATTATTTTATATTTTATAATTATTTAATTATTAGTAAAATTTATTTTTTAATATGTCAACATTATTTGAATATGGATATGCAATGTACATAATTTTGTAATTGTTTATTTATATAATTTTTAATAACTATCTAAAAAAAGTTAATTTTTTAAATTTGTTTCCAATTACAAACACTTTTAAATATGTTTTTTCTTTTAAATATATAATCAATGTTAAAATATGGATAATTAATTAAAAAATTATATTTATAATCATTTGAACCTTATTTTATACAAAGGGTAAAATGGTAATTTTTTTAAATAATCAATTAAAATTATAATTTTTATATCTCATATCAATCAAATCATTCACAATTTCCCATAAATTTTCTTTTCACTTTCCATTCATTCAAATAACTTTAACTTTATCTTCATTTCTCTTCAAATCCCTCCTTTTCCACTCTTTCATTTCCACTCTCTCACATCATTCCAACCAAACAAAACCTTAATCTTAATGAACCAAATCACACACTGGTCAAGTAACTGAAATAGTTACTCAAAGCCCCCATCAACTTTTACTTTTAAAAATATGCGAATAAAAGCTAAAGTAATTTAGCCATGATAGCAATTGCATGACCTCAGACTCTTGCCACTTTTTGTCCCTCAAATCTTCAACATCATGGAGGGCCTGAGTCGGCCCCATTCTTCTAATCATCATTCTTACATCCCATCACTTCTCCTAATATACATCCATTTGGTCAACCCACACCAGGACCATTTTATCACATTACTACCAATTGTATCATCAGCTAAAAAAAATAAATTATAATGAATAGCTCAAATTATGTATGTTTTTTTTTTCCAGATATGAAGAGTTATAGCACATGTTTATCCCTTAAATTATTATAACTCAATAGAAGAAAGTGAAAAGTACCATTTTGACTAGTTTTGTCACACACTAAGTGCGCTTATCCCAATAATAACACCTACACCAAAGTCTCGTAATCAAGAACCGATAAAGTTAGCTGGAACCTCTCATTACAACCACCTTTCGGCTTTCCCAAGACCAAAAGCTACACTAACCAAACAAGGAAAAGAAACACTAATTATGAACAAATAAAATAAATCAAACATTGGCATAGCATATCTCAAAGCACAAAGGATATGAAACTCTATCCTTGTTGAATAAACATGCAATTAAATGTTATAGCCAAGCTTCTCAATCATCCAAACCTTCTCCCATTTTTCACATCATTTTGTTAATCCAAATAACCTTTACGTGAAACCTTCTCATCCCAAAATAAAAACCCCCTAGTCCTTGTTACATACATCCACCATTTTCTCAGACCTTCGCACCACACTTTCTTTCACTCCAATGGGACCTCTCACTTATCTCTTTCCACTTTTTCTTCTCTTCTGCTTCTCTCCGTTGACACTCTCTCGAACCACACCGGATACCCCCAAAACGACACTCCTCGACGTCGTTTCCTCCCTTCAAAACGCGCACAATGCCGTCGCTTCAGCCCGCTACCACCCTCTCCAACGAGAACAAGAACCCTCGCTTCTTTCGTCGTTCGCTGTTCAACTACATTCCCGTGCCTCAATTCAAAAACCCTCTCACAGCGACTATAAATCCTTAACCCTATCGCGACTCGCGCGCGACTCCGCCCGTGTCAGAGCCTTGCAAACTCGTTTAGATCTTGCTCTGAATCGCGTCTCGAACTCGGATCTCCACCCGGCCGAGTCACGCTCTGAGTTCGAAGCCAACGCGCTCAAGGGCCCTATCGTCTCCGGAACGAGTCAGGGAAGCGGCGAGTACTTCCTCCGAGTCGGAATCGGAAAACCACCGAGTCAAGCCTACGTGGTTCTCGACACCGGAAGCGACGTGAGTTGGATCCAATGCGCGCCATGCTCCGAATGCTACCAACAATCCGACCCGATTTTTGACCCGAGTTCGTCCTCTTCCTACGCGCCAATCCACTGCGACGCGCCGCAGTGTAAAACGCTCGACCTCTCCGAGTGCCGCAACGGAACCTGCCTCTACGAAGTCTCCTACGGCGACGGATCCTACACCGTCGGCGAGTTCGCCACGGAGACCGTTACTCTCGGCGCGGCGACTGTCTCCGGCGTCGCCATCGGCTGCGGCCATAACAACGAAGGACTATTCGTCGGCGCCGCCGGTCTGCTGGGCCTCGGCGGCGGAAAGCTCTCATTTCCGGCGCAGGTCAACGCGACGTCATTTTCGTACTGTCTCGTGGACCGCGATTCCGACGCAGTTTCCACTCTCGAGTTCAACTCGCCGATGCCGCGCAACGCGGTCACCGCGCCGCTCATGCGGAACCCCGAGCTCGACACTTTCTACTACCTCGGCTTGAAAGGAATCAGCGTCGGGGGTGAGGCTCTCCCGATACCTGAGTCGAGCTTCGCAGTGGACGCCACAGGCGGCGGAGGCATCATCGTCGATTCCGGCACGGCGGTGACACGGCTACGGAGCGAGGTGTACGACGCGCTCCGCGACGCGTTCGTGGGGGGCGTGAAGGGGTTGCCGAAGGTGAACGGCGTGTCGCTGTTTGACACGTGCTACAACTTGTCGTCGAGGAACAGTGTAGAGGTGCCGACGATGTCGTTTCATTTTCCTGAGGGGAGGGAGTTACCGTTACCGGCGAGGAATTACCTGATACCGGTTGACTCAGAGGGGACGTTTTGCTTTGCGTTTGCACCAACATCGTCGTCGTTGTCAATCATTGGGAATGTGCAGCAACAAGGGACACGTGTCGGTTTCGATATCGGTAATTCGGTCGTTGGATTCTCTGCCAATAGTTGCTAGTGAAAAAGGGTAGGTGTGATAACGTGGTAGACGTAGAACAAGAGAATCTCGTGCTTACTTTTATTTTTATTTTATTTTTTAAAATTTGTAATGGTGGGTAAGGGTGGTAATTTGGTAAAATAGTTTCTGTTTCTTTGTTTGGGCTATTGTAACGTGTGGGTCCATTCGGATAAGGTACAATGTAAGTTGGGCCAGCCGAATGGTGCTAAATGTGGAGACTGAGTGAGGGAAGTGATGCTTATAAAATGGTGAGGGGTTGCTAACTTCCAATACTAGATTTTAGACGTGGGTAGATACTAATTATGTTGGGGATTTTTTACATTTCTTGATCAATTTTTTTTAAATTAACTGGGTAAATATTTTAAAATTCATGATTATATGATTAAGTTCTATTTCAAAATAGATTTTTTTTTAAAACAATAAAAGCAGAGATTGAAACACTTATTTAGTGAAAACAAATTATCTAAATTTTTAAATTCTTCCATAACATATATTTAATTTATGAAAATTAAATATTTTTTCATTAGTGAGTATTTATGAAAAAGAATTATCAAAATAAGTTTTTTATATTTTTTCAAATCTTTTTTATATATAATGTTATTAGAGACGTAACGAAGTCTGTTATATTATTCATTCTTAATTTGATAACGTAAGTTTATGAAATAAAAATAGTAAAGATGTAATAAAGTATTGTACATTCCACAGTAATCGTTTTTAATTACCATATTTGTTAAGAGAATAAAAAGGAATTTTAATAACAACAATGACAACAAATTTCATAATGTATTGACTCACTTCTTGATCAATTTATAATAAATTTCACTCAATATTTTTTTTTAACATCAACTACATATATAATTTACTAAAAACATGTTCGAAGTGGATATAAATTACTGTGGACAGAATAATGTCACTGACTATTTTCATAATTACATATAAAAAATTCTAATTAGTATTGTCTCACTTAACAATCAATTTTATTGATACAAGTGAGTATATATATTCCATGTTCAATTGTCAAATGATGATTTTCTTATTATTAATTAAACTTAAACATTTTGCATTAATTAATCCACACTTTAATCAATCATCAATCTCAAATAAAAAATATATTTTTACTAATTATAATTCATAGCCAGGAAACCGCATTACCAAAACAAAAATTCTAGAATTTTCATTATTTAAATTTAACAGTCAATTAAACAAATAAAAGTATTAAACTTTAGAGTGGTTGAGTTTTATTTTTAATATGCTTTTATTTCCAAGTCACATCTAATAACTATTATTTTTCAGATCAACTTTATGCAATTGGATGGTTTCCTCCATCTCCTCTTATATTGGTATTCATTATTACACCGACAGAGGTTTCAGATTTGCTTTACAATAATTAGTACTCATATTATCACCATGCCGCTGCCAACCCATTAACTTCACAACGACTTCTGCCTCATACGCATGGCGATGCCACAATCATGGCGCGTGGCACCTTTCACAAAAGTTGTGTCCTTTCTCCCTCTCTTCTTATCTTATACTCTAACCCTGTTTGTTTGAACTGATTTGCGATGAAATACTGTTTACGAAGACAGAAATACGAGATTCACCCACGTTTGGTTGAACTGATTTGCGACGAAATGCAGGCGAGGAAAAGGGGGAGATGAGAGAGAGAGTTTCTTCGCTGAGGTGCGAAGAAAAGAGATGAAAGTAATGAAAAGTCGCTGTTACCCTGCAATATATGATAGCGGTTAAATCTTAACCGCTATTATAACAGCACTTGTAATAGCGGTTAAAACTTAACCGCTATTATATATCACTTCTAATAGCGGTTAAAACATAACCGCTATTATATATCACTTCTAATAGCGGTTAAATCTTAAACGCTATTATATATCACTTAAGATAGCGCTTACAGAGGAACCGCTATTATATCCTCCAATATTTCGCTCGAGCGAGACATAGTCGCTCAAGCGAAACACAACCCGAGACTGAAGAAATTAAAATATGGTTGTATATGATAGCGGTTCCACTGGAACCGCTATCTAATATACACTTTAGATAGCGATTACTGAGAAACCGCTATTATATCCTCCAATTATGATCGATCATTACCTAAATCTAATCGATCAGAATCATATTTCGCTCGAGCGAGATATAGTCGCTCAAGCGAAACACAACCCGAGACTCGAAGAAATTAAAAATTTGGTTGTATATGATAGCGGTTCCATCGGAACCGCTATCTAATATACACTTTAGATAGCGATTCTGAGAGGAACCGCTATTATATCCTCCAGCTTATGATCGATCATTTCAAATTATGATCGATCAAGTATCGCTTTTCGCTCGAGCGAGATATAGTCGCTCGAGCGAAATGCAACCCGAGACTGAATCTTAAAATATTTTTTTGAATATTATGTTTTTAAATTTGCTATTAGAGAAAACCTTTCAGAATTCAAAATGTTAAATACTTTTAAATATTAAAATTAACTTTATCAAAAATTAGGAAAACAAAATTTATCCAAAAGAGTTCAAAAATGTATAAGAGTATTCTCAATTTTGAGTTTAATTATATTGTTCATTCTCAAAGTAGAAATTTATATTGTAGTTATTTAATTTACATTTTGTGATCTTCTTAAAATTAGCATCAATAACATTAGACTTTACATTTGATTCATACCTAACTAATTATAGATTAAAAGGAAAGTGGTATAACCATGCATTTTACTTTTCTATTTACCTTATTCTTTTAATTATTTTATATAATAATAATCAAAATATTCACATGAATATGGGCATTTTCCAAAATAATATTATTGTATTATTGTTAAAATTAGCATCAATAACATTACACTTAATCTTCTTAATTATATTGTTCATTCTCAAATTAGAAAATTATATTGTAATTATCTTCAATTTATTAAAAGTGTAATTAAATCTCTATTTTCTTAATTTTTTTTTGTTTCAAACTTCTCAATGCTACATTTTTGTAACTTCTATCATTATATTATCATCCTCATCTCCTCCCATGTTCTACTTTATCTTTACAATAGTTAATATTCTTAAATAATCTATATTTTTAATTATAATTTTTTAATATATATTTTGAAATTAATCAATTCTAAGCTATTATTTGAAAAACTAATCAATTCTAATCAATAATTTAGAAAAATAATCGATTAGAATTAATTATTTGAAAAAATTATGAAATATGATCGATCATTTCAAAAATCTAATCGATCAGAATCATATTTCGCTCGAGCGAGATATAGTCGCTCAAGCGAAACACAACCCGAGACTCAAGAAATTAAAATATGGTTGTATATGATAGCGGTTCCACTGGAACCGCTATCTAATATACACTTTAGATAGCGATTACTGAGAGGAACCGCTATTATATCCTCCAGTTATGATCGATCATTTCAAATTATGATCGATCAGTATCGTTTTTCGCTCGAGCGAGATATAGTCGCTCGAGCGAAATGCAACCCGAGACCGAATCTTAAAATATTTTTTGAATATTATGTTTTTAAATTTGCTATTAGAGAAAACCTTTCAGAATTCAAAATGTTAAATACTTTTAAATATTAAAATTAACTTTATCAAAAATTAGGAAAACAAAATTTATCCAAAAGAGTTCAAAAATATATAAGAGTATTCTCAATTTTGAGTTTAATTATATTGTTCATTCTCAAAGTAGAAATTTATATTGTAGTTATTTAATTTACATTTTGTGATCTTCTTAAAATTAGCATCAATAACATTAGACTTTACATTTGATTCATACCTAACTAATTATAGATTAAAAGGAAAGTGGTATAACCATGCATTTTACTTTTCTATTTACCTTATTCTTTTAATTATTTTATATAATAATAATCAAAATATTCACATGAATATGGGCATTTTCCAAAATAATATTATTGTATTATTGTTAAAATTAGCATCAATAACATTACACTTGATCTTCTTAATTATATTGTTCATTCTCAAATTAGAAAATTATATTGTAATTATATTGTTCATTCTCAAATTAGAAAATTATATTGTAATTAGACGACTTTTTGGCTTGCCCTCACATCTTCGTCTCTCCCAGTTGTTCATGTTCTTGAATGGAGGTGATTAAATGATCTGAACCTGGAGGACTTCACTACAAAAGATAAATAACATTATAATTATTTGTTTGAAGAACATTAGTGTGCATAGATTTATAATTTTAGTAATCTTTCCTTTAATTATTATTCTATTTTCACTGTATTTTATATTTGTTTTAAATAATAATGTACAATTATATTATTAGTTTTCATAATTATTTGTTATTATCGATCAATATTAATTATTATTTTATATTTTATAATTATTTAATTATTAGTCAAATAATTTATTTAATATGTCAACATTATTTGAATATGGATATGCAATGTACATAATTTTGTAATTGTTTATTTATATAATTTTTAATAATTATCTAAAAAAAGTTAACTTTTTAAATTTGTTTCCAATTCCAAACACTTTTAAATTTGTTTTTTCTTTTAAATATATAATCAATGTTAAAATATGGATAATTAATTAAAAAATTATATTTATAATCATTTGAACCTTATTTGATACAAAGGGTAAAATGGTAATTTTCTTAAATAATAAACATAAAATTATAATTTTTATATCTCATATCAATCAAATCATTCACAATTTCCCATAAACTTTCCTTTCACTTTTCAATCATCTCCATTTCTCTTCAAATCCCTCCTTTTCCACTCTCTCATTTCCACTCTATCCAAACAAAGCCTAAATTTCCCAAACCCATCTTTCTCTGGTAACCGTTTAGTGTGTTTCAGTTCGGTTTTACCCTCCATTTTCATAACATTCCCAGTTCAACTTTGTTCTCTCATTACTGTTTTTTAATATTATTTATTGTCCAGTGCCCATTGAAAGTTTTTTGGCCTTTCCCCATTATGATGATCCATTTATCAAAATAATGTATCTCTCTCTACGACAAGCTACTATGTTTCTTCTTCTCTCAAAATGGTGGATTCTCCCTCATTCTCTTCCACTCTCTATTGTCCCATCACCAACAATTAGGTACCTCTGTCCCACTATACTCTCTCTTTGTTCAATTTCAATCACTATTTTCTGTTTTCACTGGCCTTGTTCAGTCTTGCTACACCATTTATTCTTCAATGGAAAACCAAAAAATCAAAATGAAAATCACTTCTTTCCCTGGTACTACCTTTATGGCAAAAGCTATCCTATAAGGGCATAAAGTTTTCCTTTTCAATCATGTTTTTCGTTTTAAAAAAATCTTCTTTCTGGTTCTACAAGATAGTGGACATTTTTTTTTATGTAGAATTTGTGTTGATTATGCATACCCCAGATGAACAAAATAAATAAAACGTTTTTTTTTTTTTTTTGCTGTTTAATCTCTATATGGCATAGTTTTATTTTTCCTCACTTCATATTTTTCTATGATTGTGATCTACCGCAATTACCTTTTCTGTGTTTATTTTCTTCAGCGGTAAGTAGTGAGAGATGAAGCATTTATTGTTTTTCTTTTGAGAAAATGCATTGCGGGGCTACATAGAAGTGGCAACATAGTGAATTGGTGGCAAGAAATGGAGCAACCACGGCGCTGGCACGACGTGTTTTGGTTAGGGATATTTCTGATCCATTTGGTTGGTTTGGGATTAGTTCTTGGGGTTTTAGGCCTCAACAGGTTCAAGCAAAAGAACAGGCTTGACATTGACAAGTACACCTACCGGTTCATGGAGAATGAGGCTGGTTTGACGGAGGATTACTGGCCGCTTTACGCGGTGGCCGGAGGAGTTGGAACCGCCCTTGGATGGAGTTGGTTGCTGCTATTAGGCTCACGCGCTACCCAGATGATGAAGGTGTCTGTGCACATCCTCACTACTTACCTTGCAGTGATCAGTGTTTTGTGTTTCTGGGCTGAGCAGTTTTTCTGGGGAGTTGCCTTTGCTATTGGAGCAGCACTGCAGTTTTTGTATGTGATTTCTGTCATAGACAGGTATGGTAATGATGAAAGTGGTCTTTGGGTATGTTTTCTGTTTGAATTGTTATTATTTGAAGGTTTTTAATTGGGATCACTGTTGCTACTTTTCCGCAATCTATATTGTGGGAAATTGTGGACCTATTGTTTTGAGATGGTTGCAATGTTGTTGGTAGGTAGTTTGGCATTTGAAGGTGGTGTTTTATTGGATGTTATCGTCAAACTCTTGATTTAATTGTTAGACTCTTTCAAACTTATGATTCTAAGTAGATAAAAAGAGTTAACTCGATATCAAACTCTTCTCTGGATAAACTCAAGTAAACTTGCATACACTCAAGAGTCAAAATAGAGTCAATGAGTTTGAATTCAATTGTAATTTTTGCTCCAATTAACCCCACAATGATTTTTAAAAGAAGTGTTTTACCAGTGTCCAAATGATTTGAAGGCATTAACTCCTTTTTAAAGTGTTTTCACTTTAATGAGTTATGATCTTATAAATTAATAAATGATTTGGTCATTTATGCAGTTTTATCTTATTTAGTACTAATGTCCTATCACACTTTATTATTGTGGAGTGTTATTTTTACTTTATTATGAAATTGAAATGTTGAATTACTCTTGTATTAAGAGTATGGTTGTTAAGCGCATAGATGTCATCAATAGGCTTTTCAATATTATTTTTTATATTACATAAACTCTCACGAGTGTGTAGAAGCTCTGCCAGTTTATATGTTGTTATTGTAACAATAGACTTCTGTATAATTAATTTTGTTAAAACGAATTTGGGTGGCCTGTCTTTTCACTTCTCCAGACTACCATTTACAATGTTGGTTCTGCAAAAATCTGCCAAAATGATATGGAATCTTCCTGAGGTCAGGAGAGTGGCATGTGCATTTATGCTTGTTGTGCTTTTATGGATGGCCTTGTGGTCATTTGGAGCTGCTGGTGTCGTGGCTTCAAGCATAGGTGATGGTGGACGCTGGTGGCTTCTTGTGGTGAGCTGGCAAGTTTTGTTCTTCATTCTGTTCACCCTTGTTCGGACTGGTTATTTTGTGGCAGCAGATTTTTATAATCTAATTCCACTGATATTACCGTCATAATTCATGAATGCAGGTCCTCTCTGTAAGCTTATTTTGGACAGGAGCTGTGTTTTGCAACACTGTGCATGTCATTGTGTCTGCCACAGTGGTTCGTGTTACTATCCATGGTGGTAGAGAGGCTGCGTCAATTCCTGGTAACCCCTTAATGAAATCTTTACAGTATGCTTTAACAACATCTTTTGGCAGCATTTGTTATGGATCATTATTCACGGCTGCAATTAGGACACTACGATGGGAGGTATTAGCTGCCATTTACATTTTTTGTTAATTTTCTCAACTTCATCTCCTTTATATATTTGGAGGCTATTCATTTAATCCTTTTCATTCATAAAAAATTTGATGCCTTTCAGATCAGAGGAATCCGGTCAAAGATTGGCAACAATGAGTGTTTGCTTTGCTGTGTTGATTTCCTCTTCCATCTTGTGGAGACTCTCGTCCGTTTCTTTAACAAATATGCATATGTTCAGGTTGACTTCTTCGTCTATAGCACCAATTACTCACCATGAATGATGTATTTTATGTCATCTGTGACAAACAAGATTCAAAAAGAGAATTATTGATTTTCACTTAATTTAACTACCTGTTACCATATTGAGGTTAGAAGAGAAAATACAAGGGCAGTAGTTTACTTCACAATTAATCCAATTAGAAGAGCTTCCACACATAGACCTATACAAATAGCTTATAGTTTTGGCTTGTTATGATAAAACGTATCAAAATAAACTCTATTCTAACATTTTTCCATAAGTTTGATTGGTATATATTTGACATAGGCCATGTTTATGTAAATTTTTTTAAACACTTATAGAGAAGAAAATAAAAATGTAAAATAAATATAATATTTTTCACACGTGAATCTACTTATGTATCGCACCTTTTGAAGTTAAATGAAAGAGCTTTATAAGTGTATAAGTTTATTTTAGCTTATCTGCGGAACTCCATTTATTGTACTTTCTTAATTTCTTCTCTTATAAATGCTTACAGAGAAGTTTATCTAGAAAAAATTAAAAAGTATAAGAGTTTTATTAATTAAGCTATATTGCTAGAGACCCCAAATGAGCTTAAAGGCAAATTTTGTTTTGAGGTTTTGGTGATTATTGTTAGCAGCCATGTTCTTGTAAAACTAATGCTAGTAGCATGGTTTATGCTCATGTACCCTGCAGATTGCTGTTTATGGTAAAAGCTTTAACCGATCTGCTAGAGATGCATGGGAGCTATTCCAGTCAACTGGAGTTGAAGCAATTGTGGCCTATGATTGTTCAGGTGCTGTGCTTCTAATGGGAACCATTTTTGGGGGGCTGATAACTGGAACTTGCTCTGGTGTTTGGGCCTGGATTAAGTGGACTGACAGGGCTTTCATGATTGGGTCGACATCTATGCTCATGGGGATGGTATTGGTAAGTTTGTGTGAAGTTTTGGGGTTGGATACATGCTGTTATTGAACTTTCTGTTCTCAAAAGTTGGCCTGGTGGAGCTAGGCACTGTGAGGAGCACCAAATATTTTAATTTTAGTAAACAACCGGTGCAAAAATGCTTGCAAAAATTGAACCACAGGGGTTCAAATCCCTCCCCCTTTAGTTGTTTCTCCAATTTTATTTAAGAACTACAATGCAATAAAATCTATATAATAATGAATAACGATTTATATACGCCCAAAATTATAAATGACACCTAGGGAAGAAAAATATAGATTTTATAGGTAATATAATGTGATAAGAAGAGAGATAGGGAGAAATGATAAGTGTTGATTAGGTGTTTAAAATTAATGGGTATCCGTGTATCATTTACTCATAAATAATATATTTTATATCGATTCATGTGGCTAAACTAGTGACTCAGCAATTAGTGACCAATCGATCTAGTATCATTTACTGGTCGTGACAGATGAGAGAATGACTCCGGTCTGAGTTCTATATAAGTCGCAAATATTGTCGTCATCATTTATGATCATGGCTTTGCTTGTTTTGGATTTTGGTAAAAACTGATTTGCTAAAATAGTGTTAGTGAGTACGTGTTTGCATTCATTGCGAAACTGTGCTCAGCTCAGCAGAAATTTCTTGTTTTGCGAAAGCGTGCCTTGTAAAGTGGGATCTTTGCATTGCAATGAGCGGAAATGTTGTTGGGTGATGAAAACGGTTAAGGTTTCAACATAAAATCAATTGACAATATGTAAAGTAGGCTAACATGTATTTAAATTATACTAAATGATATGAGGTAGGCGATGTGGAACTTTGCCCATGACAATAATCGGAAAAATGTTAGGTTTTTATTTTGACTCTGATACCATGTTAAGGTTCTAACATAAAATCAAAATTAATAATATATGAAGTAACATAAAACCAATTAACAATATATGGAGTAGCCTAAATCATACTAAATAATATGAGTGGACTTTTAACAAAAACAAACAGGAGAATTGATTCTGAAATGTAAATATAGATCCATTTTGTGTGGGTTCCATAGGAATCAATTTTTGTCTATGTTAAAGTTATTTTTCATTACTCTTGAAATCAATTTCATTCATTGCAAACTTGACTTTTTCTGAACCAAATAAGCTATATATGCAAATCATTCAAAACTATCCAATTAACCTTTGCCGAATAATTATTATAAAAGTAGATAAACTTAGTGTACATAAACTTTACATTGTAACTAAGCATGTGTATGCATGCATGCATATTACATGTTGTTTCAGGTTGGAATAGCCATGGTTGTGGTGGAAAGTGCTGTTACATCCATATACATATGCTATGCAGAAGATCCCTCATTGATTCAGAGATGGGACACTGAGTTTTTCGACCACATGTCTGAGACACTGCGCCAACGACTTCAGCATAGGAGTTCACGTGCAAGGGAAGTTTTAACCCTCAATCACCTTGAGTCACGTATGGGAGAACACTCTTCTATTTGAGGATTCTCTTCATGTTACACTACTCCACACCACTTTAACACTTTTCCATTTTGATGTCAAATCCTTCAGTTTTAGGCTTTAGCATCTCTTTGTTTCATTTTGTGGCTATAGGGTAACACCACAACTTCATATATGCAAGTTTCATGCTCCTTTGATGCCTCAAATATGGCCATAGTTTTGGTGCTTGTACTTTACACATTCTCCATACTATTTTAATCCTATAAGAGAATATTAGTATCGGCTTTAGAAGTTCTGAAGAAAAAGGGTATACAAGTCATATTTTCCGTTCATTCAATGAAACACAACGTATATTCTCTACGTATACTGTTGCTATCAAACTTCATTCATAACCTTTGAAGCTCATACGAAGCTTTAAATAAAAGATGCTATTATACTTAAATAAAAATGATGTAATTTAATTGAATCAATTATTTACCAATTTATAGATTTTCCAATTAGATCCACACGAGTTGGATAAAGTAAATGATAAAACAGTTGGGCTCCATCCATTTTTATCCAGTCCAAAATCATGGCCCATCTCAACTAGAGGCTGGAAAGAAAGAATTTTAAAATACATAAGAACTTTATAATTAAAAAATATTTAAAAATAAAATAAAATAAAAGAGTGAAGTAAAGAAGATAGTAGATTGCGTGGACGAGGAAGGGACGAAGAAAGGAAAGAAAAGAATGGGAATGCGTGATGCGAATAGAGACAAAGAAAGAAAGCAGAGAACAGAAATGGCGTATAAAATGCGTCATAACGCATTCCAATTTGGGCCTCACCTACTCCACCTCCTCCTCTCTTCTCCTCCCTTTCTGACACCCTCTTCTTCAAACACACTTCTCTCTCTCTCCCCACACAAACCAAGACAAACCTTTTCTTTCGCCCTTTCTCTTCACCTTATTCCAACCATTTTATTATTGTTATTCTTAATGAGAACAAAAAATAAAAGTATTTACTTCATGCATGCCTTCTTTTGTATCCCCTCTCCACACAATACTGACAAGAAATGAATCAAACAAAACACTGCTATGCACATGTTTTTCACTTGTTTTTTTTTATTTTTTTACAAATTCTTTTCTTTTTCACTTATGTTAATAAGAAAATGTGATTATATGCCATGAATCAAACAAATTAATACAGAAATAGAAGAAAATGGTGAGAGAAAATTGTGGTGTATCTTTGGGCTTATTTGTCCTCAGTCTCATCAATATTCCATCATGTACACACTTTCTTATAAGCTCTTGGGATACCTATATTAGATTCAAGAAGAAGAGAAAAAGAAGAAAAAGTGGTATCTCCTTCTTTGCCAAAACCCTTCAAAGATGATTCAGTTTAGATTTTAGAACTAATATACAAATGATATTCACATGAGTGAATAGATGTACGAATTAAAATAGATGTCAAATTAAAAATTTATTTGTGAGTTAATAATTTGTTTGAACATAGATAAAATGGAAACAATAATATAATCAAGAAAAAAGAAAGAGATAAAAGAAAGAGAAAAATACACAGATTTAAACTGGTTCGGGTATAGTCAATCATATATCTAGTTCTTACTCAACTCTTAACACAAGACTAACTCTCAATTCACTATCTTTCAAATTCAGTTTACAAATTACAATTAACTTAGCAGAAGAACCAGTAAAAAGTAAACTAATTAAAAAGACAATCATCTCTTTAAAAACCCACTAAGGATGAACACCTCTCTAGAATCTCACTAGGGATGAACACCTCCTCTGAACAAATCAAATGATGAAAGAATCCTCTTTAGAATCCCATTAAAGATGAACACCTCCCTAGAATCACACTAGGGATGAACACCTCCCTTGAACAAATCAAAAGATAAACACCTCCTTAGAATCCCACTAAGGATGAACACCTCCCTAGAATCACACTAGGGATGAAAAACACCTCCTTTGCCACCAATACACAAAGGATGAAGGTAATAAAAATAAGAACAATCACACTTGGGTAATGGAGACAACAAATTATAAAAGCCTGTAAAATGTCAATCTCCAAGAACAAGTGTGATTAACAATGAAAACACAGAAGACAGTAAAGAGGAGGGTTTTCTCAGAAGGTGTAAAATATCTCTGTTGTCTTGCTCAGAATTCTTTTTTCAAAACTGATTGAATGTAAATTATATTTTCGAATTTTGTAATTGTGTGTTTTTTATTTTTCATCAAAACTTAATTAAATAGAAAAATAGCATAAAAAAATGGTCATTGGACATTAATATTTTCGTGAATAAAAATCAGGATATATTAAAAAACATTTATTCTTCAAAACAAATATATTTTTCAAATTTGAATTGCCATAATTGATTATGTTACCAGTATAATCAATTATGACAGAAAAAATCATTTTTCCATTTCTGATGCATCATAATTGATTATGACAGAGAAAAATATCATGTTATGAATTTTATCATACTTGTGCTTTGGAGGCTTATGCATAATATTCTTCATCAACTTGTACCTCCATATTCAGTATTCTAAGACTCTATCTAGTCTTCAGGAATCATCTTGGGCTTGCTTGAATTTTGAATAAAATCTTTATCAAAATTATATCTTGAGCTTGCTTGAGTCTTAAATGTTGTTGACTTGAATCATCATCAAAATCATCTCTTGGGAATGTAGGGACATGTTTCACATTGTCATCAATCTTCCCCTTGTTGCTTTTAATCTCCCCATTTTTTATGATGATCAAGGAAACACCTGAAATGAATTAAAATACTTAACTCTATATGACCAGCTCAAGATTAGCACAGTATAGTATAACACAGATTAGCACAGATTTATATCAAATTTCAGAGTCTCTTAATCTCCCCTTGGATATATTAATAACAAGGCTCCCCCTAACTCATATGAGTAAAGACTTCTCTTAACTCCCCTTGTTTAATTTAGAGATAGGAATGAATTTCACATAAATTTTAATTCATCAAAAAATCTCCCCCTGTTTCACACAGATTAATATCATCAAAATATTTTCTTGTTTCATTGATAATTATGAAAAATATTGCAATAGAAATTGAGAACAAATTTGCACATATTAGTATATAAATCAAGGTAGAGAAGATAATGCATTACAAAGTGTCATAGAGAAGAACATCATATTAAGGAGACAATATCTAGGATACTCAAGACAAAAGAAGAGAGAGAAAGATAGGGGAATAGAATGATTGTAGAGATAATGGAATGCAATGCAGTAGTTTCTCCCAATTGTAGTCTTCTTATTTAGGCAACTCTTAAATTCAAATTCACTCATATTCTAGATTTCAAATTTCAAATTTCAAATTCAAATTGCAACAAATTTCAAATTCAAATTTCAACAAATTCCAAATTCAAATTTCTAATCCCAAATTTCAAATTCAAATTTCAAATTCTAATTCAAATTCAATTTCAAAAATCTCAAACTCGCAAAAATTTTAAATTTCAAAATCTCAAACTACAAAATTTCAAAAATCTCAAATTGCAAAATTTCAAATTTCAAAAATTTCATACTGCAAATTTTGAAAAACTGCAAAATTTCAAACTTTAATAATTTCAAATTTTCATAAATTCAAATTTTTAAAATTCAAACGGTCAAATTTCAAAGTTGGTCAACAATCAAATTTATGTGATAGATAAGTGCAAATATTCAATATAAAGGCTTGAGAGACAATCATAAACTTACCTTTGTAATATTTTCCTGATCATCTAGCTTGTTCCTGTACACTCATTTAGCTTCAATAACCTGCATTGATTTCTTATCCTTAATAATTACCTGCAACATCAACATACAAATCTAGGTACTCTTTAATTATTTTTGGGTCCTTAAAAAGGTTAGTAGAATCACAAGTCTCTGCCAAAAGACTAAGGATTAAAAGAATATAACCATGATATAATAATCGATTATCGTAGAACCTTCAGAATCAACATAATTGATTATGATAACAATAAAAAAAATTTTGATTCTGATAATCAATTAGATGTTCAAACTATCATCTAGACATGTATAAATATTTTGTTCCTTTAGACACATTCATATTTGCCATTAGATATGCCAAAATATTTTATGTAACATCTATTTGATGTATGACCTAATTTCATGCAATAAAAACATGTTGGTTTTCTTTGAAAATGTCTAAATGATTTTCTTAAAGTTTTTGAAACTGGTTTCACATCTGTTTTTCTTGACTCTTTCACAAAAATAGTTTTATGAGGTTCTAGACTTTCTTTGGGTTTGTAACCAAGTCCAGCTTTGCTAGAATTCCCTCTTTGATAACCTAATATAGAATCAAGATTTTTAGAAGATTTTGAAAACTTGCTTATTATTTTCTCTAACTTGAAAATCTCATTTTACAAATTATTACAATTTTCACAAGGTTTAGCAACTTCTTTATTTTTAGACAAAGTTTTAAATTTCTCAACATCTTTCTTTAATTACTCATTTTTTTTTCAAGAATACCAACAATATTTTCTAATGCATTAAACTTTTGTCTAAGTGCATTGTATTTCTTAGACAACTTGGTAAAACCTTCATACATATCTTGATGTTCTTTAAACAACTCATCATATTCTTTTAAAAATTTTGTATTGCTTACCTGTGATGAGGCTTCATCATCACTTTTTGTCATCAAGCAAAGATTTGCTTCTTCTTCTCCATCACTGTTTTCGGAAGAACTCTCTTGTGTTGTGGAAGAATAATTATCCTCCCAAGCAATATAAACTTTGTGTTTGTTCTTATAGATACCGTTCTTCCCTTTCTTCACATCTTTCTTAAGTTTCGGACAGTCTGGTTTGATATGGCCAGGTTTTCCACATCCATAGCAATGAAATTTATTTGTTTTCTCCTTTCTTTGCTGTGTCTTTTTCCTGTTCTTTATAAAGCAAGAAAATTATTTAACAAAAAGATATATATCGGAATCTGAAAACTTACCTTCATTTTCGCTTTCATCTTATGAAGATTTTTCTACTTTTAGAGCTATCGTCTTGGTTTGATTCTGTTCACCGTT